CCGCGCCCGCTGGATTGCGTCGGAGAGAAATCCCTCGGACTCGCTCAGTCGCGGCAGGCTCGGGCGGTTCAGCAGACGCCGCCAGCTTAGCCATCCGCGCGCGCGCAGCCGCCATCGCGATTACGGGGCGGCTCTGGCTTCTTCTGGCGGGCACCGCGCGCAGCGCGCCACGGCGCGGGGCCGCCGTGCCCTCGGCCAAGACGAGGCAGCGGGCGACGCTGACAGCCCAGGCCGCCAGCGGACTGACCAGCACCTCGACCGCGACGTTGTCGGAACAGCTGGCGGCGCGCTCCGACACCGAGAGTATATATCGGCACGTCCTCCAGAGTTTCGTCGGCAACTGCTCCGGCCGCCACCTGGATTGGAGCGTCTTGGGCCAGTTGGACGCGATCCTGGCGGAGTGCTTCAGCTGCCAGCACCTGCAGGGCGCGGCGGCAAACGTCGGCTCGCAGACCATTGCGGCCATCGCGCAATTCGCGCCAGGGCTCCAGAGGCAGGCGGGACCGCTGCTTCCCATGGCCGCGCGAGCCATGCAGGCATGGGAGAGGTGCGCACCGGCGCTCGCGAGGTTGCCGATCCCAAGGGCAATGATGTTCGCCCTCGGAAGATCCCTACATGGCTGCGCGGCAGCAGGCCCCCATGGCAGCCTGGCTGGCCATCGGCCTCTCGGCGTACCTTCACCCGGCAGAAGCGCGGGGGCTCGCGACCGACAGCGTCGCGCAGCCCTCGGCGATGGCAGTTCCGGGGGCTGCTGCTGCGCCCTGCGGATCGCGGCCAGTGAGGCAAGACGGGGTCTTCCGACAAGTCCATTTTGCTTGGCCACGTCTCCTACCTCGCGCCCGTTCTCACGGCGCCCCGCCGGAAGGGAAACGCAGGGGCGCCGTTCTGGAACATCATCTTGACTCAGCTGAACCGGCTATTCGCGCTTGCTGCCACCGCCCTGGGGATCAACCACCTTCGTCCTCATCTATATGGATTGAGGCGCGGCAGGGTCAGCGACGACCTCCCGACTCAGAGGAGGCCAATCGAGCCAGCCATCGTTTCGTTGAGGACGCTGGGCGGTCATGTCCTCGACGCGCCGCTATGCGAAGGAGACGGCTCTCCTCCGCGAGCTCCAGGGCGCGGCGACGGGCGTCCTCGAGTTGGGCAGACTTGTGGAGCAGAGCTTCTGCGTGCTGCTAGAGAAGGGCATCGGCGGCGCGGGCGCTGCTGCCCGAGGGCCGCGTCCGCGCGGGCGCGTGGGTCTGCCTCGCCCGCGCGCGTTACGTCAGGCCGATCGAGTGCTTCAGGCCGCGCGGGCGCCACCTCGCGGCCAGCCGCCCCGTCGCGGGGCCCAGTTCCAGCGCTGGGGGCCCCTGCGGGCGGGCGCGGTGGCAGGCCAGCCGGAAAGAAGGGGAACTGGGGCGAGTCCGTTCTACTAGACCTGAACGACCGGCTCGCCCCCGTCATCGCGGCCCTGAAGCTCGCCACCCCCCCGAACACTTCGCCGTGGCCCTTCGCGGCGGCCGCGCTGGGGCGAGCCTTGAAGCGGGCGCGCAGCCTGCTTGGCCTGGGCCCGACGGAGCCCCATCTCTACCCCCTCCGCCACGGGGGGCCTCCGACGACCTTCGGAAACGGAGGTCCGTCGAGGCGGTGCAGAGGCGGGGGCGCTGGGCCAGCTCGCAGCCCCTCGAGCGCCGCGGGTGGTAGACGCGGTTTCTGAGACCCGGCTCGACCAGGCGCCAAGTGACGCGCTGAAGTTCGGGAAGCTCGCGGAGCTCAACGTCGCCGCGCTTGAGGAGAAGGGCCCGGCAGGCAGCGGGGCGCGGCCCCAGGCCCCGATCGACCCGCAGCGCCTCCTGCGCCGCGCCGGCCACGCAGTGTCCTGAGTGCGCGCCCCGAGGAGATTGAGCGCCACTTGACCCACGTCTTCCATCGCGCTGCATTGCGCGGCACGGATTTTCTTCGACGCGCGTTTCTCGAGCTTTTCTTTGGCAGCGCTCGCCTTTCCCACCAGTTGAGCATGCGCGGCCGCAGCGCCGTCGGACTAGACATTGCGCGGCGCGCAGCCGAGAACCATTTGAGACCAGCATTCGCACGCCGCCTTCGAGTCAGGGCACTGGCCAAGGCAGCGCGCGCCGTTCTTGTCTCGCTACTCCCTGCGCTACTTTCTCCGCCGCTCGTCGCCCCGCCCTTCGCTCCTCGTCAGTCCCTCGTGGCATCCCCGGCCTTTCCTCCACTGGCTCCGCGGCCGTCAGAGTAGGCGACAGACTGCTCGATTGTACTTTGAAGACAGTTCGCCTGTGCATTCGGTGTAGCTGTCCAGTCGCCATTGGGCGATCCCTCTACCTCTATTTCATGGCACGCTCCAGCGCTTAAGATGTTGCTCTCACACGCATCCTGCAAGCAGATCGTATTTGATTGATGCCAATTTTGCATGCGTGGCGGAAGCGAGCCAGGATTGTCGGTTTGGCATTTTGGTGCAGAGTGTGAGAAGTTGGCCCGCCGCTGTCAGCCAATCCATGGTAACTGTTCTCGCGCAGGCTGCCCGCGCATCGAGCTTGTAGGGCGTGAGCCTGTCGGTGACTGCCTCTGGACGTTTATTACCCGTCCATATCCCGCCTCGTTTTGCCGGGCTCTCGCGTCTATCCTAATCGTTGCAGTTGATCACGCTCGGGCCTCCGTCCTTCGTGATCGATTTTATGTGAGATTCGGCCAACTGGCCAGTGCTCTCCTGCGGGCGTGGGCAGTTTTTTTGTCAACGAGTCGCTGACAGTTTTTGTTGCTCCTTATCGCTTGCAGGGCGGCCGCGGCCACCCGCATCGCGCTTGGCCGCATTGAAGGACAAATTGAAGCGCCCCAAGCCTCGGGCCCTTTGCTGAGTGTCCTTCAGCTGGGCCTGGCAGAGATCCAGCGGACTTAGCAAGCTAGTAGTCTTCAGGTCGTGATGCTTGCAGTGTCCTCTTTCTCTTCCGTACTTGTTACGGCTCAAGTTTGTCCCTCCCTCCTCTCCCTCGTTATGATTCCTTCTTTTGCGGGGCAGTCGTTCAACGAATCGCTGACAGCTTTTTGCTCCTTGTCGCTGGCAGGGCGGCCAGTGCCACCCGCCTCACGTTTGGCCGCGTTGAAGGAAAAAGTTGAAGCGCTCCAAGCCTCAGGCCCTTGGGATATCCCTAAGTGTCCTTCAGCTGGGCCCGGCAGAGACTCGGCAGATTTAGCAAGCTGTATATTGTATTGCATTCGTCAGAGTTGCCCTGAAGTGCCGTGGAATAAAAATGAGCCCCAACGGTGGTCGATGTTTGCGGTGCAGGTTACGTCGTCCGTCGTGCGACTCATGGGGCACAAGTTATGTGGTGCGATCAGTGTGCTTCAACAGAGAGAGTTATCCTTGTGGGGTCTGCGTTGCCGTGTTGCCGGTTTTGTGTTCCGTCGCCTTCTGTCGCCATGTAGCAGGATATTCGAGTTTTGTTGTCGGATACGCGGGGGTGTTACGTCTCTTTTGACGTCACGCCGTTTCTTGAGCCATATTTGGGGCATTTGGGGTCGTCTTGGGTCTTTTTCGGTGGATAGCTAGTGATATCGTGCTCGTACGCAGGCTTCGTGGCCGTCTTGGAGGCCAAGTTGGCCCACTTCCGCGGGCCACGGGGCGATCCCGTGCATAGCCACGCGGGAGAGTTGGAGCCCAGGGGTGGGAAGGGAAGTTCAGAAAACTAGTGGCACAGCAACGTACTTGGACTTGATGCTTCGGTATGGAGACCCATGGGGGGGGGGGGCGGACTCAGGCACCTGGGAACGTCAAAGAAAGATATCAGCGGAGCGGCGAGTATCAATGCGGACAGGCTCAGAGGGCGAGGAAGCTAGACTAGGCTGAAGCGAGGCGAGGTCGCTGGTGCTGGACAGAACATGATGGGCGATGGGTGCTTCGAAAAAGGAGAGGCTCCAAAGGTGTGACGTCCGACCAGGTGGAAACGAGGATTGTTGGACGGGACCAAAACATCAAGGGGGAGGGAAATTCAAAAAGGAGAATTCGAGGGGCTGGGGATGCTGGACCACCTGGGGGCGAGGTCGCCAGGGTGGGAAAAGAAAGTCATGAGGGTGGGGATGCCATGCTAGCTGGGTGTGCGCGGTCGAAGTATGGGGGAGCTGAGAGGGCGGAAAGGTCAGAGCAGGTGGAAGCGAGGTCGCTGGGCCGGGACAGAAAAGCAAGGGTGGGGGGGGGCCCAACATGGAAAGGATCAGAGCGTGGGGATGTCAGACCATGTGAAGGCGAGGTCGCTTGGGCGGGGGAAGAACATCAAAGGCGCGGGAAGCTCAGAAACCATGGGCACATGATGTGGGGGTGTCAGACCAGGTGCGGGCGAGGTTGCTGGGGCGGTGGCTGAATACCAAGGGCGTGGAAAGGGTCCACAGGAGGGACTCAGAGAGAAAAATATCAGAGGTCGTTGCGGCGGGAATAAAATCGAAGGGGTGGGGAGTCCCAGAAGGAGATGCCCAGCGGAAGGAGATATGCCCGACCAGTTCGAGGTGAGGCCGGGGTGCCGGAGGCCTGGGACAGGAAACGAAGGGTGTGTGGGGGGGGTCCGAGCAAGACAGAATCTGATGTGGAGATGCCAGGCCGCCTTGAACAGAGGTCAGATTCGGGCGGGAGGAACGGTCCAGGGTGTGGGGATGTCGCGGGGAGAATTGATGGGGTCAGGGGGCCCAGGAGCTTGAGGCAGGACGCTGGAAGGGGGTGAGGAACCCCCCACACCAGACGTTCAGGTGGGCAGGTTGTCAGGAGCATAGGCAGATACGTGAATAAGGCCAATGTGCGTTGTTCGATGTTCAACATCACACGCCTCTCAGGTCGGCGGGTTTACGTCTTTCTCTTACTCGGATGGGCTCAGAGGCCTGTGGGGTTATCTGGCTGGCTGGCCGTATACTCTTCTATCGGGCCGAGGGATGGAGGAGGTTCTCATGTGTTCACGTCGCTATGCTTTCGTGGTGGTAATGATCGCTTGATGCTGTAGCGGTGCAGCAAGGTCTGCGTCGGCACGCCGTATGGGCTGAATGTCGATGTCTTCGGCGCCGGCGTTGTGCTTTTCTTCATGCTAAGCAAGGACGCCCGATCACGCACCCTGTACTCCGCTACCCTTTCCCCCTCCCCAGCGACGCTGACAACCGAACATCCGAATATGTTTCTGTTTCTTCTGTGGAAGTCGACTGCCGAAATGTGCTCCTGCGTCTGGTCTGCCGCTGGGCTCCCTTTGGTGGGTATGAAAGTGTTTCTATGTCTGGCCTCCCTCCATCGTGTTTCGTTATTGTAGGTACAGGGCGTGTGGACACGTATTCATTGATGGTTGTTCACTTGGAGGCTCCGCTTCGGGTCGCCTTTTTTTTGGTGACCTGGGCATTTGCCTGTGCCTTCGTAAACCGCCTGGCCACCACCGCAATCTCTTTCTCCTTATTTCGTCCGCCAGCCTCCTCTCCCACCCCTCTTGTACGACGCCCTGCCGCACCCAATCATATCCTAGCTTCGATTGTTTCAGGGCTCTCTCCAACCGTTGCGCTCCCTTGAGATATGGAATTGTGGGGGTTCCGTAGGCCAGTGTCCTGAAGGCGACGTCCTAGGACTCGTGCTGTCAGACTTTCGGCCCCGAGGGTGGCCGGTGGCAGCAGCGCCCATTCGCGGGGTTCCACGCACGCGCAGAGGGGATGTCCCGCGAGTGCCCTGCCGGCACGCGCTCGCGATTATCCGCGTTTTGAGAGCGGGATCGCATCAAACATCGGTTGCAGGGGTGCCTCTTCTGGAAGGGCTGTTCTGAACGGCTTGCGTGTTTTTTCACGACTGTTCTGCGCTCGATCATGCGTCCACGACGTGTGTTCCTCACCGAAGGTGGTGCCCCCTGTCCCGACGCGGGGCAGAGTCTTGGTCTGCTCTGCGGAGAGGGTTCTTGGCCCAAGTTTGTCAGCACACTCAGCACACCCTGGTATCCCCCCCCTCCCACCTCCTTCCCCTTCTCCCGCGGCGCCGATTCGATACTCTGGCTTTTCCCATGTATCTCTGATGGCGACCTGCGGCCCCTTCGCCCCGCAATGTCAGTTGCCCTCTGCGCCCATCCAGGCCGCCACAAACAAATAGAGCGTTGCGCCGTTGGAAACTGGGAAGTTCCGAATTCAGCTCTTCCCAGTTCAGATCCCAGATACGGGATCTGAATTCCGTGGCCGCATGCAGACTTGATGCAACGTCGACCACCGAGTACATGCACACGACTTGCCATTTGATGCAGAAGGACGCTGTAATTTGCTTCGGGAATCAGCGCCAACCTAATTCACAAGTCGTTCGTTGGGTTTCATAATTGCGGCCTGGCTATTTCCGTATTTTCTCCCCGCATTTCAATTCCAGTCTTTGGTTTCATCCCATGGCCCTCATCTTTCTTCTTGTTCTTCTCTCTTCCTCCTGACCTGTAGTGGCGAGATGCGCGTACATCAGGGGTGAGGAGCGCAATTCGGAGGGTACGGAAAGAATGGGGACGACGTTTTGCGGCAGTTCCTGCCTATTTGGAACATGACTCGCTGTCGGTGTCGCCGCGGACGTTGTCAATCAGAGGTAAAAATCGCCAGCCCAGCGGCGGCCGGTGTTGGTGTTGGACAACCTTCGTTGTTGGGCATCGTGCCATTTTTTCCGTACCCATCGGTCGTTGAAAGTATGTATTTCGTGATTTCAGGATCACAATCTATGTTCGGCGCCGTCCTATTTCAATGATCGAGTGGTTTCATCTTTTCCTTGCTCTTCAGGGGGCTGGCGGAAACCCAATCTACTTCCAACGCTTTCTTCATTCACGGTTCTACCTACTTCTTCCGATTGACGGGTACCCCTTTCGGGGGTCCAGATTTTTTTGCCCCTTCTCATTGCACCCCGCCCTTGCCCATCCCCTCCTCTGGATGGGTGGATGGGGAAATGCCAGCTGGCAACAGTGCAAATTGGGTCTTTGGTCGATCCGGAGGGAGATGACGAAGCATAGAGAATGATTCTGGTCTGGACATTTTTGTTGCGGGGTGGTGAGCGGCTAATGTCGTCGATTTGCAGTGCCCCTGATCGCAGTGGCCTGGAGGGACGGGGCATGGTCACGGTGATCCCGCCCCTCTGAGGGGCAGCGCGCACATCAAACCGGGAAACGCAAACGGACCCTGCCCACCCCTGGGCCTGCCCAAAGACGCTCTGCTCGATCGTTCTTCTGGCCATTTTGCCCGCTCGGGAGGGCGGGGCGCGGCGGACCCGGACCCCCCCGCACCGCCTCCCCGTCTCCAGGAGATGCCCTTCGTCAGCAGGGACCGGGACACGGCCGCCACGATGAGGAAGACCGTGAAGTGCGCCCTGCACCTGCACAGGCGCGGGCCGCGCGCCGCGCGGGCAGCAGGAGGAAGAAGCCAGGGGGATGAGTTTGAGGCGGCAGAGCAGGGGGGGGGGGGGGGAGAGGTGGCTGCGAGAGGGGCAGGGGAGGAGGAGGTCCTCCTCCTCCTCCCCTGCCCCTCCGAGAACGAGGAGGAGGCGGGGGAGGAGACGGGCGCGAGTCCTCCCAGCTGCACTATATGGAACCTCAGTCATCGGCATGTCAGATAAGCAAGTCAAAGATTTCAGGGACCATACGGGCCAGGTGCTCCATGGAACCCCGAAAGGCCGCTCACGTACTTTAGAGTTTCTCGTGAGACCCGAGCCTGCGGTAGACCCCGAGTACGTGGCAGATGCTGGACCTGTTATTTCCTGCAGATTGGCGTTCCATCAGGGATGGGTGCCAGTGCAGATCATGAGATCTATGTTTGAAGCTTTAACGCATATTGAGGGCGTGCTAGCTGGCAGCAGGTTCAGACCTGCAGGGTCTGTTGCCTGTACGCGAAGGTGGTTCCGTTGGACCATCAACACTTGGGATTATTAGATTAATGAGCAGTGACGATGTTCCCCCCATAACCCCAGGTAACACGGCAAGTGATATTTCAGAATGATACTGAACTTTTGCACCCAGAGGCTCCTCATCAAGGATTTTGACGCCCAGAAGAAGGCACAGCCAATGGGTTCCCTAATAGAGGTCCTTGTCTGCAGCCTTCAATCAAGTACCTCAAAGAGTTGAGGGCCCCGGGTCCACGTGCTTCAGCATGTGCCTGCGCACGTGGGCCGCCATGCGGCGACCGCGCCGCGGCACCCCCGCGGGGGCCGTCGCGGCGCGCCCGAGCGGCACTCCAGACTGCCAGCTGCCACAGCACGTGTGTGTGTGAAATCTATTGGAAACACTTTTCGATTTGGGTGTAAGGTCATCTTCGCGCTCGGCATTGTCATCTTCACGCCCTTACATGTCCAAGTCCGCTCCGCCTAGGTGGCCCGCCGCGGCGGCAGGCGCGGCTCTCCGGCCGCGCTCCGCGCTCCGGGCCGCGCGGTGGCGGCGGGCCCCATCCGTTGCTGCGGGGGCGGGGCCAGCGAAGCCTGCGAGCCGGCCGCGGCGGCGACCGGCGGCGTCGCGGCCGCACCGTGGAGTGTTGCACTTCCACCGCCGCCTTCTCATCCTCTTCCGCCTCCTCCTCTGCTTGCGTGGGGTGCTGCTCCTCCTCGGCCCGCGCGGGGTGCAGCGCCGCCTCCGCCGCCGCCACCGCCGCCGCCGCCGCCGCCTCCTCCTACTCCTACTCCTCCTCCGTAGCCATTTTGGTTCAAGTGGGGACACGCCCCATTGTGTGTGGCAGCTCTGACTGCGATCCCCCAGCCAGGACAACGAGGGGAGACTGGTGGCCGGGATACAAGGCGGCACCAGGGGCCCGACCCGCGTCAATGGTCAGAGCCCAAGGACCCCGACACGGGACAACAGCTGTACACATCAGGAATCAACAACGTCCAGTGGGACCTCCCCGGGGAGGCACCCGGCGAGGCGATGCGACGACTCCGAGTCACACTGGGACCAATGTTCACTGGCACTGGGCACTCTTTCGCCAAGCGGCAGTCGGTGCCTGGCGGCGTAAGGGCGCGCTCGACCCGAATCGGCACTACCCGCGAACCTGCCACCTCTTTCTGGAATCCTTCCGCAGCCACAGGGGCGACGTACGGGTCCTCAGCGATGCGCTGGCCCCGACGTCGACTGGGCTCGGGCCTGGCAGCGGCGCCTGGGTCCGAGCGGCGGCGTGAGCAGTGGTCACCACACGGTAAAGGGCCACCCGAGCAAACAGGCCCCCAGGAAACATTGCAGACAGTGGTGGGCCGTCGCCCCTTGCTACCCCCATCGCGGCATCCCTGCGAGTTGCTACCGCGATAGCGTCTCGACACCCGCTTCTCTCAGTACTTCTACGTTCTTTTCTTGGCTGTTGTCTACGTGCTGCGTGTGTGGCTATACCGTCGGCCTCAGTTCATTTATCCTCGGTCTGCGTGCCGCGCGCGTGGCTATACCGTGGACAGTTCGGTTTTCTGTTCTGTGATTCACCTTCTCTGTTGACTACGAGTTGTACACCGTACTCTGCAGCGGGATTGGGTGTCTCAGGTTTCCCCCCCCTTGGTTCTGACGGGCTGTTGTCGGACGTGCCTTGCTTCTCCATCGGAGGAAACACGCTGTGTGGGCGACGGTCGGCTGGCCCCCCCGGAGCGGAAGACGCGCGCGTCCCGCGTGCGTCGGAGGAAACGCGCTGCGCGGGTGACGGATTGACTGGTCCCACCTGGCGCGGTCGCAATTGACTAGCAAATGGATACTGGTGTCTTTTCGCTCTGCGTTTCCCCCAGGCGGGCCCTGCGCCCCGTGCTTCTCCTGGCCCCCCGCCCCCCGGGGCTGGGCGACACGCTGCCCGTTCGCCCCCTCGCGTGTCGCCGAGGCCGCCGCTTCGACTCGCTGGCTGCCTTCTTGGTGCGTGGTTTCTCTACTTGTTCGGGGCGCACGTGCATCAACCAGGAAGGCCGAGGCCTGTGTCGCGGGGATCCAGGGCACCGCGAAGTGTCAGCACTGTCCTCCGCCAGTGGTCTGGCGCGCGGTTTCCCACCCGCGGTCGCCGAAGACCCTCCACTGGGACAGGTGGAGGGACCACAGAGGTGCCTCCGACTCTGGACTGTCCTTCCCCCCCTGCGGTCATTGTCGGCCCTCCGCAGGAAGCAGCGAAGGGATCGCAGAGGTGACTTCGACCGGCGTTGCCCCCCCCGCGGTCGCTGAAGACCCTCCACAGGGGGCGGTGGAGGGATCGCAGAGGTGACTCCGACGACGCAGCATCGTCAGAAGTGCCGCCTCTTCCTTCTCTTCGCTCTGCACTTCACGTGCTTCCCCCCGACGATGCTGCCCTGGAGCAGGGGCAGCGTTCCCCGGCAGTGGTCCGGCGCTCTGTCCCTCCCACGGTCGCGGTCCCACATCGCGTGGTTGAGAGATCACAGTGGCAAGGTCTCGCAGTATAAGCATTGGCGTCGCCCCTCCTCCTCCATTTATTCGTTGGATTGTGCGGCTATCGGCTGCGTCTCCTCCTCTCCCCCTCCTCCTCCCGTGGATTCGGCGACGCGCGATTTCCCCCCTACCGAGGCTCCTCTGGAGCACTCGGGCCACGCGCGTTTTCCCCCCCGCCGAGGCTCTTGGCGCACTTGGGTCTATGTACCACCTGACGGCTCTCTCGCAGAGCTCCGAGGTGCGGTCGGGCCGCGCTGCCGCCAGGTGTTGTTCTGACAACTCGGGCCTCTGCTTGCCCAGGCACCTCCGGGGGCCGGGCCGGGGGTGTTGCGGGGCGGCAAGTGGTGCGCCCTTTGCTCGACTATCGACGTTCCCCCTTCTGGTCCACCACGGCCCCCGGTTGACGCGCGCCGTTTGGTTCCCCCGTCCACCGCGATGGTTAGCTGCCTGCGTTGTTCGCCGACGACGTGGTCCACCTCTGAGCGGGGGCCGCCAGCGTGCCCCTGGCACTGCACAAGTGGTTCATCCTTTGACAGTGCTTACGCTCTCCTACGGGTTGGTCCATGGTGCTCGGCCACGCCTGCTGCCGCTCCCCCGACACTCCGGGTCAGGCAGTCAAGGTTCGGACTCCGCGGCTGGGTCGACGTCAGTGCACCGGTCGGTGGCTCACGTCTGATCGCGCCCAGGAGTCCAAGTGAGTGAGGCTTACCCGGCCACCCCTCTTCTGCCCGCTCGTTTGCTCTCTCGCTCCGTAGTGGTGAGCGGTGCGGCCTCACGTGCCCACCGTCCTGCCACTTGGCTGATCGGCCCTAGCCTGTGCTCTCTGGACTATACGGTTCGAGCTGGCGCCACTGTGCGACTTCTCTCCGTCTACTCCAGTCTGGCGCTTGCGTCCCCGATCTCGGGTCGCTTGCATCTTAATGGGGGGGCATTTTGCCTCTTGCAGGTTCACTTGCTGCGTCGGCCTAGGCGCCGTCGTAACCAGTTATCTCGCCCTGTGCCCCAGCCGCGCCCGCCCCGCTTCCTAGACTCTTCCTTGGGGCCGCCAATCCAAAAAAAACATCCCCACCAGGGCACGTGTGCAGCATGCAGCCCTGGCCGTTTGCAGCCAGCTCAGTCAGCTCAGCTTCAGCCAGCGGCCCCCCCGGCGGTAGGTTCTGATCCCGCGCTTGGTCGCGGTGTAATTAGGCCCGCGCGTAGCCCGCTCGACCTATTCGGACGCCCCATGCGCTTTCGCTGGCGGCCGCGACAAACAAAGTCCCCGCCAGCCCATCCAGAGTTGATTGCCAGTTTTCTTGAGGCCTCTTTGGGGGCTATCTTGAGGCATGCTCGGCCATTGGCTGTCGGAGGATATCTTGAGCCATGCTCGGCCATCTTGAGGGTGTCTTGAGGTGTCTCGGAGGTCTGTCGGAGGCTATCTTGAGCCACGCTTGGCTATCTTAGGCAATATTGAAGGCCACCTTGGGCGATCTAGGGCTCTATTGGAGCCACCTTGGGCCAAAAAGGGCGGGGCGGGGAGTCTCTTGGAGAGGCTGGGGGGCCTCTTGGGGCCATCTTGGGCCCCATGTCTCAAACAGAGGGGGTTCCTTAATTAGTATCCCCCCCTCGGAGGCTCTCAAGCTGCGTTTTTGGTGCCGTCTTGGGGTGCTCTTGGGCGCCTCTTGGGCGATCGCGGGGCCGTCTTCGGCCTTCTTGGCTCCCTCTTGGGGCCGGGGCCCTTTTGGGCCATCGTGGTGCCATCTTGAGGCTTCCGCGGCCCGTTGGAAACGAAAAGGCGAGAATGCCAAAAACATTGATTTTCAATCGGCTTTTGAAGGGTTTAGGCATCTTGGAGAGCGCCGCGGGGGGCTCGACGGGCACTTGGGTCCGTCTTGGGGTTGTCTTGGGGCCTCTTGGGGGTTGGCCGGGCGCTATCTTGACCCATCTTGAAGTAACATGGGCCATCGTGGAGGCCATCTCGCGACTTTGAACGCTTCTCTGAGCAATCTCGGGCCATCCTGGACGCTCTAATCCCTCGCGGCGCGCCCCGCCCAGGTCCAGGGGAGGGGGCGGGGGGATGGGTTTCAGTGGAAGAGAGAAGCAACCAACGCGCTATACCACTTAAGCCCAGAGGACTGGTGGGATTCGAGCGGGCACCTTTCACCCTGACAGTGCGCTCCCGCCCGAGCGGCCGTCCATTTTTCTCTCTCGCATTTGCATTTTGCAGATGGCGCGAGTTCCCCACGGACGAGAATCTCGACCTCATGATGTCACAGTTGGACGGCATGGGCAGCACCCTCGGAGGAGTCGCGGCCCTCGTCAGGAAGGTTGACAACCTTGCCGACACCGTCGACAGGCATGGGGGGCTCTTCGAGACCATCCAAGCCGACCTAGCCGCCTTGCAGAAGAAGCTAAGCGATAGCTACAACGAGAGCAGCGCCGGAGGCAATGCCTGGGGTGGATATTCTGCAGCAGGTGGGGGGCCTACGCTGTGAAGCGTGCGCGCCGAGCTCTGTCTGCCCCTCCCGAGCGAGATCGTCCGAATGATGCATGCAAAGTTTGGATCGGGGGCTTTCCCCGGAAATTGCTCGGCAAGCAGTTCGAAGCCCACTGGGGCATCGCCGAGACACTCATCAGTTCTGCCGTTGCTGAGGTAGCCATGCCAAAGTTTTACAGCCTGCAGTGCGCGTATTCTGTGGTCTTCCAGTCTGCCGAGCAGGCCAAGGACTTCATTGCTCTCACCCGTCTGAATGATTCCGGGATGACTTGGAAGGATCCTCGCAATGGCGAATCAAAGCTGCTTCGAGCACGTCCAGACCAGACCATGGGCGTCAGGCGCAAGCAGAAAGTGCCCAGAAATCTGCGGGGGGGGGGGCCATCTTTAAGGAAGTCGAGAAGCGCACCCGTTGGAGTGAGGGGTGCAGGCTCGGCGCCAACGGGCCCAGAGGCATACTCTTCGCCGCCTCCGCTGACGACGCCTGGGACTTCTTCGCCCTGCAGGAGGCACCTGGCGAGACCTCCAGCATCGCCCCGAACGTGGCCAACCTCCCCGAGTGGGGCATCGGCATCGGCATGGCCAACGAGATCACCACCGCCGCCACGAGCACCTAGGACGGGCGCCAGCAGGTCTGCAGCGAGTGCCGCAACGCCCGCTGCCGCGTTCAAGCTTGTTCTTTCTGCGCCGACGTCTGCCGGCCCCGTGCCCGCCCAGGCTCGCTCGACAGCGCACCTTGCCGCCCCCCCCCCCCCCCCTTCAGAGGCGCAGGAGAGTGTCGGGAAACCTTTTGCGTCTGTCGCGCAGGCAGGCCATTCTCCAGCAGTTCCGCGCCCCCCGATTCCTCTTCCCCCTCCAGCTCGGAGCCGCCTCCTGAAGATCGGAATTTCCTCCACGCCTTCTCTCTCTCGTCTGCGTTCAGCATCTGCACTTGGGACGCCCGTGCTTGTCATGGCGCTGTCTCGGGCAGCCGCGGTCTCCAGCAGCGGGGGCGAGCCAGCGCGCGGCGTCTAGCAGGGGGGGCATGCCGTCTTACTCTTGCAGGAAACACGCGGGGGCACTGGTGATCCTGAGGCTCTGCGTCGTCTTGTCCCTCAGCATCGTGCGTTCACCGCGCGCTATTCGAATCCCGCCGGCTGGCGGGTGTGCCACGACGTCTCAGAATCAGTTCCTTCGCAAATTTTGATACGCCAGGCATCGGGCGCACCAGAGGGCAGATGACATGGGGCCCTCCCCTCTGGGCCTCGAGGGCGCGCGCAGATCAGCAACAGTCATCTTCACCTGGCCATGCCTGTTCACCAACGACGTGCCCTTCTTTCGAGTGCTGCGCAGGTTCTGAGAGGGCGCAGACTTGTCTTTGGGCGACTTTGACTTCTGCGCGCCTGCAGAGGCTTGACAATACCTCGGCGGCAGATCGCGCGCAGGCAACTCCACCAGTTCCTACCAACTCGACTCGATCTTCCAAGACAAATTTCGTGTTACAGGAGTGGCCAACCCGCGTGCGCAACAGCAGCGGCGCCCCTAAATCTGTTGCCCCCGTCTCGATCGTCTCTATGCCATCCTCTACGCCAACGCCCTGCTCGACCTCCACCCGACTACTGGCGCGCATGGCAGTGTCTTTGGCGCGTCCAACGTGCGCGATAATATCCCTGTTTGTCTCGGCATCCATCCTGGCTCCGGGGGTATAACAATATCCCGAGCTGGGTGGCGAAGCATCGGGGTTTACCTGGGCACGCTGAAGAATTGTGGGCTTGGTTGATGTTTCGGGCGACCCCATGGGCCGCGTCGCTGAGCTAAAATCGATCGCCTTCGCGGCCAAGCAATCTGCGTTAGAAGAACTTGCCGAAACGTATCCAGATACCCCCCATGCAGAAGATCTCTCTGGATGCTGGCTGCCCAGAGAGCCGTTGCCCGTCAGGGCCGTGGGGCCCCGAAGAAAACCTGCCGTGATTCCCCCGACCTCTACGTCTCTATTGCAGATGGCGTTGGCAAGTTGTTCGGCTTCGATAGTTTGCATTCCCTGATGAACGAGCTGGACGTCCAGCACATTGCCAGCCCCATGAGCGACAATGGGGCTAGCGACCTCCCGCAGGCCACGAAGCCAGCTCGAGCTGACGCCCTGCGAGGGAGACAGGCTGGCTGGCCACCGAAGCATCGGGGGCTTGGGCTCGCGCGGATTCGAGAGCCTCGCGGGCTCCCGATAATGGATCCGCGTGAATGGGGCCCGTGCTCTCGGGGACCACTGGGCCAAGGTTTTCAAGAGCGTTGGGGTTCGCCCTGAGGCCTTCCAGGAGTATTTTCCGTTTATCCAGTCCACCGCCCCCAACTCAGTCCACTGCGCGTGCTATGATAGTTGCGCGGGGCTCTTGGGAAGACAAAGTGATTCTGCCGTTGGCCCGGACGGGCTGCCATGTTCGGCGCGGGCCAGGGGGGGGGGGGCATTTAATTTTAGACGCTTCGCGTATCCCCACCAGCCCGTCCAGAAACGACGCCCAGGCGAGTATAGGGTCGTCCTGAGGGGCTTTTCGGCGTCTTGGGTGCCTCGGGGGGGCCTCTGTGGGCCGTTCGGGATCCTCTTTGGGGCCTCCTGGTGGCCTCTTGGGGCCTCTTGGGGCCATCCTGGGGCCTTTGGGGGCCTCCTGGGGTCTCTTGGGGCCTCTTGGGGGTTTATTGGGGGCCTCTTGGGGGGCCTCTTGGGGCCATCTTGGGGCCATCCTGCGGCCTCTTGGGGCATCCTGGGGGCCTCTTGCGGCCATCGTGGAGGAAATCGATCAAAGAAGAGGGGGGCGTTAATTAGCGTTGCCCCCTCAGAAGGCCAAAATGGGGCCCAAACCATAGTGCAATCAATGATTTGGGCTTCCTCGCCGAGACCGTTTTGGGCGCTCTGACCGCTCCCCGCCCCTCCTGTCCAGGTCAGTGGGGAGGGGGTAGGGGGAGGGGTAAACCCCTCCCCGAAGGGGCAGAGGGAGGCGTGGAAGAGGAAACGCCCTAAACCACCGACGCCCAGAGGGCTGGTGGGATTATCGCATGGCGCAGGGCGAAGACGAGTAGGACGACAACGGCGAGAAAGAGGATAACGAGCAGCAGGAGGATACTGGGGAGGAATACGAATTGAAAGGAAAGGGAAGAGGAAGAGAATGGGGGCGGGAGGGTGGATAAGGAACAGCAGAAGAGAATTATTGGAAATTGTAAAGATGTGGAAAAAGGAGAAAGAGGGGGAGGGGGATGACGGGGGAGGAATAATAGGTAGGCGAGGGGGAAGGGGATCCTGGAGAGCTCATATGGCCACTTGGAATCGTCCTGGGACGGTCTTGGAGCGTCTTGGAACATCTTCGGAACCATTTTGAGGCAGGTTGCGATATCTTGAGCCAGCCTGTTGGAATCGTTTTGGAGCAGTCTTGGAACGTCTTGAAACATCGCCGGAGCCATCTTGAGGCAGGTCGCGCAATCGTCAGCCATCTTGGAAGGTGTCTTGGGCTTCCCGAGGCTCTCAGGGAGCCGTCTTGGCCCATCTTTGACGACCTTGTGAGCCTCTTGGGGGCCTCTTGGGCGTCGTTTGGGGCGCTCTTGAAGCGCTCTTGGAGGCCTCAGAGGCGCTGGTAGAGCCATGTTGGAGGGGATCTGTCAAAGAAAGCGGAAGCATTTTTTAGCGTCGCCCTTGTAGAGCTTTTTAAAATCGCCTCTTGAACCCCTCTTGGGGTGTTCTTGGAGCGTTCGTTGCCGCTCTTGGCGTCGTCTTGGGGCTTTCTCGGGCCCCTTTTGGAGCTATCTTGAGCCATCTTAGAGCCATTTTGACGCCTCGGATGTGCATCGCAAGCGAAAAAGTGAGAACACCAAAAACATTGATTTTCCCTAGGGTTTTGAAGCTTTTTGGCCTCTTGGAGGCATCCTAGTGATGCTCTTGTGAGTACTTGGAACCGTTTTTGGAAGCTCTTGGAGCGTCTTGGAACATCATGGGGACCATCTTGAGGCATCTTGCGCTATCTTGAGCCATCTTGGAGGTCATCTTGAGCTCCCTGAGGCCCTCTTGGAGCCGTGTTGGGCCATCTTGGACGCTCTAACTACCCGCGGCCCCCCCTGTCCAGGTCAGTGGGGAGGGGTTAGGGGGAGGGGTAAACCCCTCCCCGAAGGGGAAGAAGGAGGGGTGGAAGAGGAAACGCTCTAAACCACCGACGCCCAGAGGGCTGGTGGGATTTTGCGCTTTACGAGATGTTCGAGGCTCTGCTGAGGGGGGGGGGGGGGGGGGGGGGGGCTGCCGCCGAAGCTTAAACTCCCTCGGCGCATTCCTGCGCAAAGGGGCCGAGCGCGAGGACAAGTTTGTCATCGCGCGCCGGCCCTCTACGACACGGCCGACAGCCTTCAGCTGTACTGGCGACAAAATCTTGAGTAAAATGGTTGCCTGGCATCTCGCTCCGATCGCTGCGGTCGCAGTCGACCGCTCGCATAGGGGATTCGTTGGATGGGGGGGGGCTGTCGGAAAACATCATCCAGCTGGAAGCCGCAGTCCTGAGGTGGCTTCCGAATTATGGCGAGCAAGAAGCTGGAAGCGCCTTTTTTTGACATTGCCAGTGAATATCCGTCTCTATCGCACGTGTGGGTCTCTAAGGTTCTTAGAGGCATGCAGCTTCCAGAAACCATCCTGTGGGCCATCCAGGCATTGTATCGGGACATGACCATGATTGTTTCGCATCGCTTGGTTACCGAATATACAACGCAGTGTCTTCGTGGAGTCAAACAGGGGCGCTCGTTATCGGGGCTAATGTGGGCGCTGTGCCTCGACCCAATTGTTAGGGATATGAATCATGAAATATCTAGCCATCAGTGCCAGCTTGGAGTCTGCGCTGATGACCTCGGATTGCGAAGTTTTTTTTTTTTTTTTTTTTTTTTTTTTTTTTTTTTTTTTTTTTTTTTTTTTTTTTTTTTTTTTTTTTTCAGTGCTTCGCCATGCTCCTCCGCGAGTCTGGACTCGTTCGCTCTGCTGCTGGGCTAGTCGTGAGTTCACGCAAGACATGCATAGTGCTTTATGGAAGGGGTTGGGAATGAGGAGGTCTTCGCCCGCCTGCGCGTGATCGGCATCGGTGCCGATGGCTTTCAAGTTGTCAGTGCAGCTCGGTATATTGTTTTTTCTTGACCACGAAAACGGAGCCGTCTCCTGGCACCACCCGTTGGCCGAGATGCGGAAGCGCTTCGTGCATATCAAGAGTTTGAAGATGGGACGAGGACCTCGTATCTCTGCGCATCATCCGACTGGTTTCCCCGCCCTGATGTCTGTCGGCCAGTCCCTCCCCCCACCCAAAGAAGCTTCCAGGATTATGCGAGAAGGTCTTCAGTCCCTGACCAATGGCCCGAGGCGTGCTACACCGCCCATTGCAGCATTTCAGCATCGCGGGCTCGCTGGTGGAGCCCAGATCCTTGGAGATCGAATGTCGCGCTGCAGCGCGCAGGTTGGCAGCGCAAGGTCCACGGCTCCACCTCGAGAGGATAGCCTGGGGGCAGGCTCCGGAGGACGACGAATGGGCCCTTGCCCCCTGGCAAAAGAATTTAGTGGAGCAGAGTATGTTTTTCAACCTCTGCAGGATTCAAGATGAGTTGGGGGCGGTCCATCGGTGCCCGTGCA